CTTAACCTTTCTAGGCCGGGTGTAGCCAGGGCCTGTGTTGAAATGAATCTCCTAGTCAACAATCCTAAGAGATTCTGGTTAGATATGGGGGGTGTTAGTGGCAGATGGCAGAAGATAGTGTATGAGAAAGAATACAGGTATTGTCCTGCTTGTCTAAAGCAGGGGCATGATGAAGTGCTGTGTAGAAGGAAGAAGAAAGTGGAAGTTGATATTTCTGAGAAGAAGCAGGAGGATGGGAATAATCTCCCTTAGAATGAGGAATGGAAGAAGAGAAAGGGAAAAGCTGTTGCTATAGAAGGACAGAAAGTACAGTCTAGAAAGGAATATAGACAGAAATCTATGCCTCAAACTACTGTTGTGGGAAATAGTTTTTCTGTGTTCAATGAGGAGATTGTTGTAGAAGAGCTGGAGATTGGGAAGGAAATGGCTCAGAATGGTCAGGAAAAATTACCTGACAAGGTTGCTAATAATGAGGGATCTCCCTCTATTAAAGAAATGGGTACTGGATTTGTTGAAGTACAGGGGGATGCTGTTAGAATTGATACTGTAATTCTTGATAATCCTCAGGCAAATTCTGAATGTGGTATTCAAGGAGAGGTAAATGCTGACATAGCTGATACCAGACTGGAGGGAATTCAACAAGAGAACAGTCCAATACTACTTAATGATTCAAGATGTAGGAATCAAATTCCTATGATTACATCTTCAGAGGGTGCTAATTTGGAGTTAAATTCCTTTTCCTCCCCTACTTTATTACCTCCTGTGAATAATGAGGAGGTTAATGTTGAAATTATTGGAGGAATTCTAATATCTGATGTGGAAAATATAGTTTCTACTTTTGATGGTATTAACAATGACAATATGTTGGTTAAGGATAATATGGAGGTATTGGGAGAATGTAGAAACCTTTATGCTCCATCAATGGGGTCTTCCTTTCTTGTGGAACATGGTTTTGCTGTTAGGCAAGGAAGCCAAAATTCTTTAGATGACCAGTCTGGTTTGGTTAGGATGAGAGAACCTCCAGATAAGGGTTATTACTCTGATTAGGCTAGTTCTAGAGCTCAAAGAATTGTAAATGTTGAATCTGATAACTCTGGGAGTTCTTTTGATGAAGAGGATGATGGTAATGGACTTAGTTCCAGTGAATTTCCATCTCCTATGAATTAATGATTAATCTTCTATCATGGAATATGAGAGGGGCAGGTAAGGATGCCAAGAGGAGGAGATTAAAAAAGCTTATTAAATTGCATGATGTTTGTCTTGTTGCAGTTCAGGAGCCTAAATTGCTGATTTCTAAATTGGTTCCTTTTGCTAGGAGTATTGGACTAGAACACTTCTGTTCTAATGCTCTTGCAGAAAGGAAAATTTGGATTTTATGGGATGAGAGAATCAAGTTGAGAATTTTATTTGAGCATGACCAAGTATTGACTGTGGAAATAACTTTTTTGAATTCAATTATCTTTTGGATCTCAATTGTATATGCTAGTTGTGATATTTTTACAAGAAGGCTTTTATGGGATCATCTGTTGGAAATTAATGTTCCTTCTGATGTTCCTTGGATGGTGGTTGGAGATTTCAATTCAATTCTATCTTCTGATGAAAGATTGGGGGGAGCCCCTCCTTCCATTTTGTCTATAGAGGATTTTGGTGACTTTTTGAATCATAGGGGTCTGTTGGATGCTGGTTTTGTGGGAAATAAATTTACCTGGTGTGATAATAGGAATGGAGGTATCAGAATGAAGCAGAGGTTGGACAGAGCTCTGATTAATGCTTGTTGGAATCTGGAATTTGATAGTATGGAAGTGGTTCATTTAGCAAGGGGCTCTTCTGATCATAGCCCTTTATTATTGAAAATTATGGATGCTCCTGTACAGAAAAGAATTTCCTATTTTAGATTTCAAGACATGTGGTGTGATCATGAGGGATTTCTTGATTTGATTAAAGCCAATTGGGGGGGGGGACTATTCAGATAATCCAATGTCAAATTTGTTCATTAAGATGAAGTATTTGAAGGCTCATATGAAGATGTGGAATAAAAATGTGTTTGGTAATCTTTTTGACAAATTGAAAAATCTTGAACAAAAAATAAGTTTGGTGGAACAGGAGCTAGATCAAAAATTTTCTGATTCAAAAGCCATGGAATTAAAAGCTGTTAAAGATGAGATGGATGATTGGTTAAGAAGAGAGGAGACTTATTGGAAGCAAAAATCAAATATAAAATGGGCTATTCAGGGGGAGAGGAATACCAGATTTTATCATTCTATTGCTAAAAGTAGAGTGGTTAGAAATAAAGTTTCAAGAATTAAGAATTAAGGAGTCTGGGTATATGGGGATAAGCAAGTGGCTGAGGTTGCTGAGGAATTTTATACTGATCTTTACAAGATTGAAAGGCATACCATCAATGAACAAATTGTTATTGATGTTATTCCTAAGCTCATCAGTCAAGAGGATAATGAGAGGCTTACAGCTGAAGCCACATTGGAAGAACTAAAAGATGTTGTCTTTTCAATGGCAATTGAAAGTGCCCCTGGACCTGATGGTATGTCTGGTATGTTTTTTCAATTTGCCTGGGAAATTATTAAAGTGGATGTGGGCAGAGCTGTAAATTTTTTGCTAGCAGGAGGCTCAATGCCTAAGTCTGTGAATTCCACTTTATTAGTGTTGATTCCTAAGAAGGAAAATCCATGTTCATTTGCTGATTTCAGACCTATAAGCTTATGTAATTTCTTATATAAGATCTTTACAAAGCTTCTTAATACTAGACTATCTTCTCTGCTTCTTGCTCTAATTTCTGAAGAACAATATGGTTTTGTTCAAGGGAGAGGCATTGGAGATTGTGTGGCCTTGGGACAGTTGCTTGTTGGTGAGTTAGACAAAAAGGTTGAAGGTGGGAACATGGTTATGAAGTTAGATATGATGAAAGCACATGACAGGATGGAATGGGATTTTTTGTTGAGGGTCCTAGCTAGCTTTGGCTTTTCTGATTTGTTCAATCAAATTATTTTGAATTGTTTGAGTAGTCAATTCTTTACCATATGTTTAAATGGTCAAAGATATGGTTATTTTGCTAATTCAAGGGGACTAAGGCAGGGGGATCCTCTCTCCCCCACCTTATTCATCTTGGCTGAGGAAGTGCTGAGTAGAGGATTGAGAAGAATTTATAACCAGAATTTGGTGAAACATTTCCATATTGGGAGAGGAACAACAATTGTTAGCCACTTGTTATTTGCTGATGATACTCTGATCTTTTTAAGAGGCAATAAATCTTCTGTTCTCAATGTTTTGCAATTTATTGAGATGTATGAATCATGTTCTGGTCAGAAAGTTAACAAAATGAAAAGTGCTGTGTATTGTTCCAAGCTGATCTCTTTGTCAAGAAGAAATAGGCTGGCTTCTATGGTGGGGATTCCTTTTAAGGATTGTCCTTTTACCTATTTGGGTTGTCCTATTATCAGAGGAAGAATTAAGAAATGCTATTTTGAAGAGGTGGTGAACAGCTTCAGAAAAAGACTTGAGGGTTGGTACGCCAGACTTTTATCTGGAATGGGAAGAGTGGTATTAGTACAATCAGTACTCAGCTCAATTCCCATTCATATTTTGGCTTGCTTGAACATTCCAAAAGGTATTTTAAGTAAGCTGAATTCTCTTATTGCTGATTTTATTTGGTCTAATCAAATTGGTTCTAGGAGGAGACATTGGATGTCACTCAATGATATTTCTAAACCCAGAATAGAAGGTGGTTTAGGGATTAGAAGTTTTGATGAAGTTCAAATGGCATTCAGAATCAAACAGGTGTGGGGTATTTTAAAGGGTTCTTCTTTGTGGGCCAAAGTCTTTAAAGAGAAGTTTTTCAGGGGAAGCATATGCTAAGATGTAGTAGCAGTGGTGCAGGTTTATCCTTTAATGTATTGAGGCCTTGGTTCAATTTCACAGTACAGAATTCCTTGAAAGTTGTTAGAAATGGTCATAACACTGATTTTTGGTGTGACTCATGGATGGAAACTGGCCCCTTGATTCTTAGAATGGAGAATCCTCCATTGATATTTCCCAAGATAAATGAATTATGGAATGGTGTGACATGGCAGCTCAATGAGGTTGCTGAATGGCTTAATCCTCAATTATGTTCTGAAATTGAAAGTGTGGGTTTTGTGAGATCTGAGGAATCTGATAATCTTATTTGGAAGCATACTACTTCAGGTGAATTTACTATTAAATCTGCTTGGAATTAGATTAGGAAAGTGGGGTACCACAATGATATTGCTAAAGGCATATGGAAACAGAAAATTTTTCCTAGTGCTCAACTTTGCACTTGGAAAATTTTCAGAAAAGCTTTGACCTCTGATGATAGAATTCAAGATGTGGGAGTGGCAATGGCCAGTAAATGTGTCATGTGTGGTGTGGCTGGGGAAAGTGCAGCTCATGTATTTATTGATTGCTCTTTAGCTCAAGCTGTCTGGAGTAAAGTTGCTGCAATTATGGAATTTGATGTTTTTTCAGGAGAGGCTCCTTTATGCAGATTCTTGAGATTGTTAAGAAGGTTTAAAGCTGCTTCTCTCAGTCATAATCTAATAAGAGGGGTAACTATGTTAATTTTTTGGGCTTTGTGGAAGGAGAGATGTAGGAGGAAATATGAGGGAGTATTTTTAAATGCCAATGCCATTTTCCAACAAATAGTGAGTTCTTCAAGATGGCAGGCTTTTCTTATCAGACCTAGATCAAATGATGATGGTAAGGGAAAGGAGTTGTTGAGAGATTTGAATATTAAAAATCCTTTTTCCTTAATCACCAAGGTTAAATGGATTAAATGGGAACTTCCTCCTGCAAATGTGTTAAAGCTTAATGTTGATGGTGCTTCTAAGGGTAAGACTGGATTGTCAGGTGGTGGGATGGTATTGAGAGATCATGAAGGCAAAGTGATTGTTGCAGCTTCCTGTTTTTATGGTATTGGTTCAAATATGTTAGCTGAATGTATGGCATTATTTGATGGTTTACTTCTGATTATGCAATATAGCCTGTCAACATCTCAGATTATGGTGGAAACTGATTCTTATACTTTAGTTCAAATGGTGAGAGGATTAGCTGCTGTTCCATGGAAGATGCAATATCTGTTAGAAAGGATTAAGCTATTGTTTAAATTTTTGAATTTGCAAATCAAGCACATTTATAGGGAAGCTAATGGTCTGGCTGACTTCTTAGCTTCCTTTGCTGTTAAATCAGAACAGTGCACTGAATTTTCTGCAAATAATATTCTGCCATCTATTGGGAGGGTTATAATGCAACAAGATTTATATGGATTTCCCTCTGCCAGATTGAAGAGATTGATATGTGAACAAAGAGAAGGTATTGGTTAAGCTTCTGTGTATACAGTATGAACTGCCTAGAAGTTGGAAAGTTGCAGCAACTCTAGTAAATCTGTATTCAACTTGCTTCATTCTAAAAGGGCTTCTATTTTGGTTCTTCTGCTGGTCGGATCTGTGCTGATTCTAGCAATCCTCTGAGATGATTTATAAGAATCAAGAGCAGTTCTTCAGTATCTGTTGGTTGCTCCTTTTCCATTCTGCCTGGGCTATCTTCTGGACTTCTTTTGTGAGCTTTTGAGTGTGGATGATCAGGTTTTCTGATGTCATCCTGTTCCCTTTTGCGTTTCATCTTGAAATGTTAAGAAGGATGCTGCTTCAGTACAGTTTTATAGGTGATATTTGATGTTTGGTCTCCTCTGCATCTGGCCATTTAGAAAAGCTGGTTATTAATGAATAGTGCATGTATGAGAGCTGTATCTGGACTAGCTCTGGTAGAAGGGTCTGGACAGCCTTCTGACTGCTTGGCATTTTGTTGCCAATGAATGTTTTATTGCAGATTTGGATTTCTGAGGGGATGGTTCTTATTAATGTTTTTGGCAGACTGTTGGGCTTCAACATGGTATTACTTTTCCAGCTTAGTCCTATACCTGCCTTTTCTTTCTGCTCATAGCATGGTCTGGAGTATGAAGTTCTGTATGCTGGTTTTGGAGAGGATAATTGCCAGAAAAAGGAGACTACATATAGGGATCAAGCTACAGAATTACTTTTTTACCTTTACATAGTTTTCCTTTGTAATTTCTTTTACAGTTACTGTTTTTTATCTTTTAACAGTACTGCTTTGCTTTTTGTAATTTCTGCATTTTCTCGAATAAAATTTCTGTTTTCTTAAAAAAAAAAAAAAAAAAGGGTTTTAGGGTTTAGGGTTTAGGGTTTAGGGTTTAGGAAGTGCAGTCATTTGTTTTGTAGTGAGAGATGCTCTTCCTTCTCTCTTGATTATTCCTTGATTTTTTCTGGCCTATCTATCCGCCATTAATGGATCCTGATCAAGTTCCCAACCACATTCCACCGAAACCACCTGACAGTTCTAAGAATTTCACTTCAACCCCCCCAATTTTGGTTTTTCCTTCTAACCCAGCAACATCGGTCCCCACTAAAGAACTCGATGAAAAAGGGGCAAAAACCCCTGCTGCTCCTCACAATATCGTCCATTCTCCTGGTATGCCCTTTGAGACCTCTGGTCTCCCTTTCAACCCAAATATTTCAAAAATCTTTGCTTCGCTGTTTAAGAAACCCTCGATTTCCTCGATTCCATCGGCCTCGTCTCTGCCCACGACCTCTTCACCTCCTTCGACTGTTCCTGTTTCCTCCACCCCTTCGGACCCAGTCATATCGCTCGAGAACTTAACCCCACCACTTCCTTCAGTCGCTCATGTCAGGTCGGCAAAACGCGTAGTGTTCAACAATGGAGAACCAGGAATCTATTGGTCCTCCGAAGAAACTCATGAGCTCTCAAAGAGGTTCCACCAGACTCTTATAGGTAAATGTGCATATGGAAAACCATCTATCGACGTTATTAGGGAATTCATTACAACGAGATGGCTCCCAAAAGGAAACTTCACAGTCGGCATTTGGACCCAAGACACATTCTGATCAGGTTTGAGCTTTATGACGACTATGTTAAAACATGGCTCAAGGATGCTACATATATTGAGGGTTATTTATTCAGATTTTTCAAATGGTTCCCGGAGTTCTTACCGGGTATTGAACCTCCGATTGTCCCAATTTGGATCTCTCTTCCAGGATTGCCAATTCATCTTTTTGACTGCAATAGTCTGAGAGATATCCTAAGCCCAATTGGTCGAATTCTTGTGATTGACAACCCAACCTTACAATTGTCGAGGCCCGGGGTGGCTAGAGTCTGTGTTGAAGTAAACTTATTGGCTGATAATCCACATAGATTCTGGTTAGATTTTGGAGGCTCTAGTGGATGGTGGCAGAGGATAGTCTATGAAAAAGGGGTAAAATATTGTAGTATTTGTTTAAAGCAAGGTCATGGTGATAATGAATGTAGGAAATCTAAATCTGAGAAGGAAGCTAATGAGGTAGTCAATGTAGCTGGAGGTGCTAAAGAAAGCAAACAGTCTACTGTTCCAGAATTAAAAGAATGGGGGGGGGGTAACAGAAAAGGAAAAGAGTGGCAGACTGTGAAAGGCAAAGGGAAGGCGAAGAATAAAGAGAAGCAAAATATGGAGGGGCATAAAACCAACAAAGGTGATGGCAACCTATTTAACACGCTTCGTGGGGAACATTCTGGTAAAGATGTTTTGGGTGTGAAAGAGAATTGTAATATGCAACAACAAGAAGAGGTTATTGTTACAGAGGAGACTTTGAACGTACAAAAGGAAGGAGGTGAGACGACCATAGGGGAAGTTGAACAAGGGGTGACCAATGAGGAATCACCAAATGTCTTAAGAAAAGGAGAGGCAGCCAATGAAGTTAGGGATTCTACTTTCCCAGACAATTTTGTGAACCAGGAACTGAACCAGGGGGAAAATCTTGAAGGGACAGCCTTGAGCTTGGAGGAGGAGGTCAATATTAACACTCAGGAACCTGATGGCAGGGACCAGGATAGCTCAGAAAACAAAGAATTGTTCTGTGCTTTAAATAAAAAATGTTCCTCCATAGGGGACTCCTTTTTAGTGGACCATAACTACTCACTCGTATGGGGGGTAATGACTGTTGTTGATGAGGGTAGGGGATTAATTCAAAGAACTGAACCCCCTGACAAAGGTTACTGGTCGGATAAGGGAAGCTCTTTGAGTGTAAACAATGCACAACATACTTTGGGGGAGGATGATGATGATTCTGTTGAGCCAGATGTGAACTCCCTTGAAGTTTACTCTCAGGAGGTGGAAAATGAAAACAACATGGGGGCGATGAATCTTTCTTCTTCTCAATGATCAATTGCCTAAATTGGAATATGAGGGGTGCTGGTAAGGCAGCTCAAAGGAGGAGGATCAAAAAACTTATCAGAATTCATGATGTTTGTATGGTGTCAATCCAAGAACCTAAAATAGAGGCAAATAAATTACAGAATTTTGCCCACTTCCTAGGTTTCTCCCATTACGTTTTCAACCCATTAGCTGAAAGGAAAATGTGGCTGTTGTGGGATGATAGAGTAACGGTGCAAATTATGGCTCAACACGAGCAAGCTCTAACAGTTAGTGTGTCCTATTTGGGTTCTGATGCGGTTTTGCTTACGGTTATTTATGCTTGTTGTGACTATGTTTTGAGAAGACCACTGTGGCAACATTTACTCTCTTTGTCATGTATTGGAAACTCTGCGTGGATGGTGGGAGGAGATTTTAATGCTATAACTACTTCCTCAGAAAGACTAGGTGGTGCATTTCCATCTATTGTTTCTATGGAGGAATTTGGGGACTTTATCCATGCTGCGGGTCTGCAGGATGTAGGTTTCTCTGGCAGCCAGTTTACATTGTGTAATAATCGTCATGGTCGGGCAAGAATGTGGCAGAGAATTGATAGGCTTCTCTTTAATCCTTCTTGGAGTCTGAGATTTGGCCACACTGAAGTGCTGCATCTGGGGAGGGGTGGCTCTGACCATTGTCCTATCCTTCTCAAAATCCAAGACCCTGTGAAACCAAAAATTTCTTACTTTAAATTCCAAGATATGTGGGTCGAAGACCAAAGTTTCCTGCCTTTGATAGCAGCTAACTGGGGAGGATATTACACTGACAATCCGATTGAAAACTTGTTCTTAAAGCTGAAATATTTGAAATTCCACATAAAAAAGTGGAATAAAGACGTTTTTGGAAATATCTTTGAAAGAATCAAACGAAAGGAAGAGGTTCTAAGGCAGGCTGAGGTTCTTTTGGAACAGGAAAATTCTGATGATAATGTTCATGCCTGCGACTGTGCTCACAAAGATCTGGACGAAGAGTTGAGATTAGAAGAAATTTACTGGAAGCAAAAAGCAAATGCCAAATGGGCGTTAGAAGGAGAAAAAAACACTCGTTTTTACCACATACTGGCAAAAGGCAAAGCAGCAAGGAACAGGATTACCAAAATTCAGAATGAAGCAGGAGTATGGGTTAAGTCTGATGAGGAGATTGGCGGGATTGCTATTGATTTTTATGCCAACCTGTATAAATCAGAGCAACATGAGCTACAGGACAATTTTTTTTTTGTTATTCCTCCTTTGGTAACCAATGAGATGAATGGCCAGCTGGTAAGGGAGGCCACTATGGAGGAGCTCAAATCTGTTATTTTCTCAATGTCTGCTCAAAGTGCTCCTAGGGTGGATGGTCTTTCAGGCAGATTTTTCCATGTGACCTGGGACATTATTAAGGATGACTTGATGAAAGCAGTGAATTTTTTCTTAAAAGGAGGTAAAATGCCTAGGTCTGTGAACTCCTTTCTCTTGATTCTTATTCCAAAGAAGGTAAATCCTGCCTCTTTCTTTGACTTTAGACCAATAAGTTTGTGCACCTTTCTCTATAAAATCTTTACAAAGCTCCTGACTGGTAGGCTGGCTCCTCTGTTGCCGACTATTGTATCCAGTGAACAACATGGTTTTGTGGAAGGAAGATCTGTTGGGGACTGTGTTTCTTTAGCTCAATTACTTGTCGCTGATCTTGATAGAAAGGTTGAGGCTGGGAACATGATCCTAAACTTGATATGATGAAAGCTTACGACAGATTGGAGTGGAATTTCTTATTTAAAGTCCTGTCTTCTTTTGGCTTCTCTGAGTTGTTTGTGAACATTATCTCCAATTGTCTGGAATCTCAGTTTGCATCTGTTTGTGTGAATGGGCAGAGAGTGGGATACTTTCCTACTTCAAGAGGCCTGAGGCAGGGAGACCCAATTTCACCTTGCCTTTTTATTCTGGCAGAAGAGGTCCTTAGTAGAGGACTAAAAAAGTTGTATTTAAATGGATCAGTACGCAGTTATCACTTGGGAAGGGGATCTATTCTGGTCAGCCACCTACTTTTTGCTGATGATACATTGGTTTTCCTGAGAGGTTTCAAAAACTCTTTACGTAATTTACAAAGTTTTTTGAAGTCCTATGAATTATACTCTGGGCAAAGAGTGAACACCCAAAAGAGCTCTATGTTTTGCTCAAAGCAAATTTCGGAAGGTAGAAAACTGGCTTTATCCTCTTTGGTTGGGATTCCAATTAAAGCCTGCCCCTTTACTTATCTTGGATGCCCCATAATAAAGGGGAGATCCAGGATTAGGTACTTCGAGGAGATCATTGTGAAATTTAGAAGCAGACTGGATGGTTGGTACTCCAGAGTACTGTCTAATATGGGTAGGGTCTTAATGGTCCAATACATTCTGAGCTCCTTGCCTACTCATATCCTTGCTTGCCAGAACCTTCCAAAAGCTGTCCTCCACAAGTTGAATACTATTATGGCTAGTTTCATATGGTCAAATAAGAAAGATGTTAAAAAGCGGCATTGGGTCTCATGGGACACTATTACCCTGCCAAAAATGGAAGGGGGCTTGGGGCTGAGGAAGTTTGAGGATTTGCAGAGAGTGTTTAGAATGAAACAAGTATGGAACCTGTTGCAGGGATCCTCTTTATGGGCTGAAGTCTTCTCCAAAAAATTCTTGAAAGGTAAGCATGTGCTTCGATGTATAGGGAAA